TGACAATATCTAGAGGTTTATGGATTCTCTGCCCTTTATATTATTCCATCCCAAGTGATCCAAAAGTCACTTTGCTCTCCCTAAAGGTGTTACCTAAATTTCCATCTGAAATGGAATCTTGACACAGAAAGTTGAGTTACTCTGCCTTGAATCAGTGCGCTGAAATAAGCCAACTGTATTCAGTCGAGTGGAAAGATGCCTCTGCACTTATGTAGCACATTTACAGTAGTCACTTTTAATACCCATATCAAAGCAGGATGGTCAGTTCAATCCAACTCTTCAGAGGGGAGCAATACTTTGATTCAGCACTTTGCTTAAAAAGAGTGCTTCAGCTGAAGCTTTGCTGAATCAATGTATCCCGTCAAAGCTTCATGCAGCCCTAAAGCACAATGTATTTCCATTGAATTCTACTCACCAGCACCCAATAACTGTGTATATACAGTTTCATGAAAGATAATGACTCCAGGACCCAAAGTGGACAATGGAACATCCAGTCCACAACGAGCTGTGGTTGCTTTCAGTTCTTTGGTGAAGTGTTTTAGGTATGCTTCTGAGGCATCTCCAAGAAATTTGAAGAGATCATTGTGGAGTCTGTCAGCATGAGTGCGGTAGATTATGAGATCTGAAATAGCCAAGACCTTCAGAAGCAGCCGGGTCCTCTGACTTAGGTTCTCCATGGCACCAAGAAGACCCTCTGTGTCAATCACCACCATTTTATGAACAGGGTCATAGGCAGCCCAAACACCTACTGTACAAGACTCCTGTGCTGGAGATGTTTTAAAGACTTCACGGCCATAAAAGAAGGTGTGGTTAAGGGTATGAGATTTCCCATCCCCTGTATTCCCAAAAATAGACACCACCTTTACATGCTGGTCAGGCTTGCAATTCAGTTTCTTGATAAATTCTTCTTCATTCTCCACCTTCCAACACAAGAAAGCAAGATTTTATGAGAACATTGTAGCTGCTGAAGCTGTGCCACTACATAAACCTGACTTGTAATCAATCGCCCAACTACCACGTTTAATCTATGATGCTCACAATTTATCAGACTTGTATTGAAGGGAGCCCCATAGTTTAACAACCTGTTCCAAGAATGCTGCTCTGTATACATCTTTATACTACCAGCGCCCAAGTAGGTGGGGGTATCTAGCCAATTTCAAAAGGCTAAGCAGGTTGGACTTGGTATGCCATTCTAATCCTAAAAGGACTCTGAGCATCTTACAGACCCTCTTAGAATAAGATTACAAACAGTCAAAACAACATAACAATAATTAAACTACAAATACAAAAACCTTGGCATTCAAGGACTGCCAAAAACAAAACACAAAAAAATCCATACAAGAGTGATTCACATCTCATAATCATTCCACAGTAGTTAGTATACCAGCCTAGGACCAGAGAGAATTAGGTCCAGCCATGAATGTACAAACTTAAATCAATCACCGTCTCAGCCAGATTAAATTTATATTGTTGTTATAAGGATAAAATTGGGAAAGGAGTAAATGGAACAATGGATACATCTTGAAAAGAAAATTCATTTTTGTAGGAGTAAATGGAACAATGGATACATCTTGAAAAGAAAATTCATTTTTGTGGATAAAATTGGGAAAGGAGTAAATGGAACAATGGATACATCTTGAAAAGAAAATTCATTTTTGTTCAACAAATAAAAAATAAGAAATTTGTGGGCTTTTTTTATTTTTCTTGTGCCCTTGATCAGTGTTGACTCCTGGCAAGTACCCGGAGTAGTCCCTGCAGTTTTCTTGCAAGATTTCAGAAGTGGTTTGCCATTGCCTCCTTCCTAGGGCTGAGAGTGAGTGAGTGGCCCAAGATCACCCAGCTGGCTTCATACCTAAGGCAGGACTAGAGATCACAGTCTCCCAGTTTCTAGCCTGATGCCTTAACCGCTGCACCAAAACTGGCTCTTAGGATCTATCACTTATTACTAATATTTTCCAATTGCAGTCAGCCAGCAGTTAAATAATAGGATCCTGGTTTAGCACTTTTAACTATGAAGTTTATTTCTGGAGAAGCAAAAAATGTGTATTTTGCTTTAACTCTTATAAAAGGATACCTATAAATTAAACTGGCATATAAAGGATCCATTTTAGTCCTCGCCCTCAAACCCTTAAATGTATATTTTCCATTATGTTCATTTCTAAGCAAAATTAGTAACATGCAGAAAAGAGATGCTAAGTCTACATGTGGAATGAAATGAAATTAAGTCCTACAGAGACAGAATTAAATTTATAACTTCATTCTGTGCATGACAGAGCACATTTTAGTGTTCCTCCATATAAAACACTTGCTGGAAGTAAAAATGTTGTACTAGAACAACCTTTTACACTAGCAAATACATGGAATTTTGAGAATACTCACACAAAATGGCTGACAGGCAGTGTTTAGCTATTCCTCAAATGGCAGCCATGATAAGTGTGGCTAGTCACAAAATACCCCTTTAGAAGGTAAAATTCTAAGGTTGTTCCTTACTAATCACTCCAATCCCTGAATGCTCCTTACCAGCCTACTTTATCTTTGCCTTTTCCTTGGCAGATGGCTATATATACTTCTACACAAAGTTCTGAGCTGCAGGAACACACCAAGAGGACCCAGGGGCATTGTTGTAAATAAAAATTACTGTATGTTACATATGGGAATTTTTAAAAAGCAAGATTAAAAAGTTTCCTAATCTGCTGGTGAAATCTTGAAATCTAACTGGCATATTAAATTTATTCCTATTTTAAGAACAGCATACATACAGTTTCAAAGTCCTTTTTTTAGCCACAAGAAGGCAATAGGGTGTCATTAGTGTAATATGCTTTCCAATACTGAATCCAAGGAATGAGTGGCAACTAAGCTAACCCACAGAAGTACATAAAATGTCTCATTTTCTCTAAGGGTACCATAGCTTAGCAGCAGAAGAAAAATACCCAGATCAGGATCCTAACCTTTTGGGAAAAGCTCAGCAGTTATGAGAGCACCTGATGGTCAGACTCACAATAACTTGCCCAGATGGGTGTGGCCAGCCATAAAATGCCAATTCACCAGAAGACAAACTGATGAGAAGCTGCTTCCAGCTGTCCCTCTGAAAATCCTCAGATGCTCTTTATCTGCTCAATTACTTCTGTGTTTTGAGACAGGTTGACACACTTCCAAACAAACAGTTTAGGCTACATCCTCTTATCATTTTAAATTTCTAAGAATTACTCCAGAGGCCATTACTGGAAAGATTATGCCTCAGGCTTACAGTTCACTTTGAGGGATACTAGCACTCCAGAGTTCTTTAAGAATTAAAAGACTCTGAAGAAACAAAATCAGGTGGAACATGGAGCCTTCTCAGATAAAGGGAGGTGTCCATGAGCAAGTTGGGTTGGTAAGAACATGTTGGGGATCTAGACCTAAACAACTGGACCAAACAAAAGTTATTTGGGGAAGGTTACTTTCTTATAACATCCATAAATCCAGGTCTAATTGTAATTATGTATTATGAGCTCCATCTTACTTGCAGTAAAAGATAGGCACACCCTCCAAACAACTTTCTGAACAGTCCTAAGGTTCCTTTAGCTGTAAACAGGATTCATTGGTGGAGTAACCACCACATCCCTCTCACTGTGTTTTGCAAGAGGAAGGTAGTACTTTTTTTTAAATGTAGGGGTGCGGAGGGAGAGAAGATAATTAACTACAATAGCTCCAGCTCTGACATAAAATTGTGGCAATTTTGCAGGCACACTGAGGAATCAAAGGGCTTTATGTGTGTGGATTTACAGCAGTCCCCAACATGTGGGTGGACTTCTAATGGTGCCAGTGTCTTGCCTCCTTCTCTACCACTACTTATGGCACCTTCTATAGCTTACTCAACTGGTTTTCCACTTGGCCTTGCATTGCACACTTTACTTAGGATTACTTATATTGATTGATATATAATTAATTCAATAGAATTAAGGTATTATGTAGAGGAATTAAAACCATATGCTTCAACAGTGTCTTCAGGACAAGGGTGGCATATGAATAGGTATCACATCTTATCCTGTCCACTTGCAATAGCAGCTCAATTTGAACTTTAACGAGGAAATGTTGAAGTACTTGAAACATACATGCAGTAAATATTGTCAACATGGTGGTGGGGGGGCGGAATAGGGCACTTCTACATTTGACAATTGCACAAGAGGCAAACCCATGGTACCTCGGGTTACGAACACTTCTGCTAGCGAACTTTTTGGGTTGCGACCAGCTCTGGCTGCAAAAATTTACCTCGGGTTACAAACCGGATCCGCGGCCATTTTCCGCCCATTCCACGTGGTCCGCGGCCGTTTTTCCGCCCTGCCGCGTGGTCCGCGGACACCGGAACGGATTAACGATAATTACATTGAACCTTATGGGAAAATTTGCTTCGGGGCGCAACCAATTCGGGGTGCGACCAGAGTCACAGAACGAATTAAATTCGTAACCCGAGGTACCACTGTATGGCCAAAGCTTCACTGATACATTTATGGCCATGTAGAAGCTTTTAAAAAGTGAGGAAAGAACATATGAACCCTGACAGAGGAAACAAAAGTAAAACTTTATAAATGTTTAGATATTTGCCATAGGCATCTGTTTCTAACTATAATGAGGCCTAAATGACAACATGTGTGTCATGATATTGTACACAAGTATGTTAGGGATGGCATTTGCATCAGACACACATTTTGTTATTTCCTTCCCCTGGTCCCTTCAGGACCCTATGATAGCTCCTAAAGCAGCATCACCCATATATATGCCCTTGAGATGTGCTGGAAATTAACTCACGTTATATCAGCCAGAACTAGCAATGCTGTCTAGTGCTTAAGGGAACTTTGGAGGGCATGAGACTGGGAAAAGCTGGGCTTGAGAGAGAAGCTCTGTTCTAATTTTATATTCTAATTTTCCTGCACTGCTTATATTACATTCTTACAAGATGGAAAGATACCTACAAGTTGCAATTTGGCAACCTTAACTGTTACACACTATCATAGTTATGTTTACTGGAAAATGGAACAAGGAACAGATGTGCTAAAGGCATGATAGAAAACTGGTTAATAATTAGAAAACAATGTAGATGCTGTATTGAAAATAATGTAGTAGAGATTAAGGACATTAATTATCCTAACATCTGTTGGAAGACAAATTCTGCCAAAAAATTGAATTTTAATAAATTCAGAGCAATGATAAGTAGGATTCTATGGCAGGAGAAGCTAATGGGAAAAGACAATCAGGATAGGTCGGAGTTCCTTAAAAAAAAGATACTAGAAACACAACTGTACACAATTCCAATGAGGAGAACACATATAAGAGGTAGAAAGAGGTTTAGGGTATAGACAGTCCAGAACTATAGACATGTATCAAGAAAGCTACTGCACTAAGGTTAGTGAAGGATACTAAGAATAACAAAAATAACTTCTTCAACTACATTCAAAATAAAAGGGAAAAAAATCAATTTACCTGCTTTTCAGTAAAGACAGCAAAATGCTAACCTGCTAACAGGTAACAAATTAAAAAAATGGAACTATTCAGCTCTAGGGCTGAGTTTGGAAAAAAATGGAGAAAGTGCTTTGGAACATGCAGGAACAAAAATATGGCACCTGTCTACAATTTTCTTTAAAGCAGCTATGACTTTTCCCAGGATTGCACAGCTGCTTTAAAGAGCTGTAGACAGGTGCTACATTCATGTTTGAAAATAGCTTTGAGCAACCTTTTGGAATCTAATAAAATCTGAAGTACCGCATGGACCTTTTCAACTCTTATTCTGGTTCAAGTTTACTCTCAGAAGAAGGTAGACATTCCCTTAGGCAACTGTGAAGAACAGAATGAAAAGTAAGTATTTACACTTGAGATGGATAGAAACAAAGCCAGACAATACGTATTTACTATGGAAGTGTTTAAATCTCCAAGGTGAGATTAAACATATCCTAGGGTCCTCAGATCATTTGCTGATGGTCTGGCCAAATCTTTATATATTATCTTTAAGAAATCCTGGAGAACTGATGAAATGCCAGACAACTGGAAGTGGGCCCTGCGCTCAGAAAAGAGGGCAAGGTGGATCCTAGGAACTACAAACCAGTCAATTTGACATCAGTGCCAAGGAAGATTATATAGCAGATCAGAAGGTCAAATCCTGTTATCCCTCATTCTAGAGTGCAGGATACAGAATAATTGTCTTAAATGATAGACATATTTGAACTGACTACTAGAAAAAGCTTTCTAACCCCAATTACTTAGAGAGAATAAGCTTGATATGTTCAGATGGAAAGTAGACAGCTATTTGTCAGTAATGGTTCAAACAACATGGTCAGCCAGAAATAAGCAAATTATATTTGGCTTAACATGATGTGTGAATCTAGTCTATTTGGAAAAGAGGCCAACATTCTAGGCAAGAACATTGTTTTATTTCAGACAATACCTGTTTTGACCACTGATGTACCAATTAAACAATGGCAGAAAGATATATCTAAATTTGTGTGGCAGAAGAAAGATGCAAAAGAAAGAAGAGGATTAGGTTTATTTGATTTGAAAATATACTTTGCAGCTTGCTGTTTAGTTTGGATGAAAGAATGGATGCTGCTGAGAAACAGAAGGCCATTGGAGCTAGAAGAACAAAATTTGAGATTTGGGTGACATGGATACTTATGGTACGATAAAGCTAAGGTTAATGTAGATTTTAAAAATCATTTTGCTAGACATGCCATACTGAGAATATGGAACAGATATGAACCCAGATTATGCCTGAAAATACCTTTGTGCCTCTCAGTAGATAAAGCATTTTATAGACAAGAAACATAAACGGCTAACTTATTGCGATATATTAGAATTTTGACAGGGGTACTGTAAAATAAAATCAAGAGAAGATCTGGTGGCAGAAGGATACACTTGCCAATGGTTATCTTATGTACAATTACAAGAAAGATTTAAAGTAGATAAAATAACTTTTGGTTTTGAACATTGTAAGACTGAGTTTGAAACAGAATTGTGTACAAATGATGAACATGTTATTGCTAAAATATATAGGCTTTTATTGAAATTTGAAACAGAAGAAGAACAAGTGAAAGAACGTATGCTAAAATGGGCTAAAAACTATGGTTACAACATACAAATGGAACAGTGGGAGAATATGTGGATGAAAGGACCGAAATGTACATTATGTTATAATCTTAAAGAGAATTTTGATAAAATGATGTACCATTGGCATATGTCACCAGAAAAATTGTCTACAATGTATAAAGGTATTTTGAATTTATGTTGGAAATGTGAACAAGAGGGGACACTTTACTATGCTTGGTGGACATGTAAAAAAGTTTTAAAAATTGGACTCAATTACATACACTAATTCAGAAGATCTTAAAGATTAATATTCAATTGAAACCAGAAGTATTTCTTTTGGGATTGATTGATAAACAGTTGGAAAAAAGCCATGGAACTTTGTTTTTATACATGATAACTGCAGTGAGATTATTATTATTCCACAAAGATGGAAAGACTTGATGTTACCCACAGTAGAAGAATGGATGGTTAAAATGATGGAACTTGCTGAGATGGCTAAATTTACATCTTTGTTTAGAGAAAAGAAGTTTAACGCTGACTGGAAACCCCTTATAGACTTTTTGCATGAAACAGAAAAAAATGAACTTTTGATATATGTTTTTGATGATTAGAAAAAACAATAGACTATAGGAAAAAATGAAAATCATGCTGTATCCATAGAGTAAGAGGTTAATTTACATTTATACTTATAACTGCTATAAAAGAAAATCAGAAGTTACTTCTTTATATTTTCTTTTTTTTTCCTGTACGTTTGTCTTTGTCTTTGTCTTTTCTTTTACTTCTTTCTTTTCTTTATTCTAAATATTAGTTTCTGTGAGTTTTTTATCTTTCTTGTTTAAAATCTTAATAAAGTTATTTAAAAAAAAAGAAGAGAGACTGACAACAGATGCCTGATTTTGGAGATACAATATGATTATTGTTGGTTTAGCTCAGTATTGCTTGCATTGACTAGGAGCTGCTTAGCCATCTGAGGTTTTACAAAGAAAACTGTCCTAGACTAACCTAGTGAAGGAACCAAGATGTACTTCTACTGAATTTTGACTTTTTGTTCCATTAAGACAAGAGGTCTCAAACTTTACAATTCCATGACACTGTAAAATAGTAAATGAGTTTGTGTGACCCCTCCAATGAATACAGCTAAGGATTTCATTGGGATTAGTATTTGGCAAGAAATAAATATACCTCTTTTAGGTGTGTGTGTGTGTGCCAAAGGAGTCAGGAAAAACTGTTTGATAAAGAAATGTGGGGAGGCAACAACTAAGAGCTGGGGTTGAAAAGTCTTAATTCTGGTAGTATTTAGCTAGAATTCACATAGATGCTTGGTCATCGTGTACCTAGGCACTTGGTCGCTAGGATATAATGTACTTGTGAATAGGTTTTCTCCCCTGAGCTTGTACAATAACAAACATCTCTGTAATTCACACACACACACACACACAGAGTATATAACCTTACAATTCCTCCACGGGGGGAGATGGGTGGCATACAAATTTAATAAATAAATAAATAAATAAATAAGCAAGCAAGCAAGCTTTATAAAAAAGATAAAACTACTAAACTTCACTAACATGTCCCCTTCTACTGATACTCCAATTATATGGACATATTACTACATTCCAATAAATAAATAAATAAGCAAGCAAGCAAGCTTTATAAAAAAGATAAAACTACTAAACTTCACTAACATGTCCCCTTCTACTGATACTCCAATTATATGGACATATTACTACATTCCACGCCAGCAGAAGTGCAGGATGCACACAGATATATCTAAGGAAAGCTGAACCCAATTATCAGCAGTCAGTGACAATGGATTGTTAATATCCAATAATAGTTTGTCACATGATCAGCAGGTATCAGTTGTTATATTCTGCAGAAATTAGAGTTATGGACCACTTCAATTTCATTAGAAACCAAATTCATGAAACACATTAAAAATGATGACCCCTTTCTGAGTTGTTCATGACCACCACTCCCCACAAGGGATCAGGACCTACAGTCTGAAAAACCCTACTTTAGGGGCTTTAGCCGAGAAAGAATCTAACATGCAGGGCTGTGCATCACTTTAGATCTGGAGACAAAAAGATGCTTCAGAGCATGCAAAGATCAGCCTGTACCTGCTGGCACCTTTTAAAATCAAGAACATATTTTCCTGCAGCTGCCAAAGACAGTCCCACAATCCCAGAGAAAGACACAGCGACTTTAAGAAGTTGCAGATAGGTACAGTCTGAGTGTACTCTGAAATACTATTTTGCCTTGAATCTGAAACACTGTACAGCCCTACCAGGAACGAAAGGAGGAAAAAAAAAGATTTGACAATCAACACATTAATCAAGTTTTCTTCATTTGGGATCTTTTTTTAACTTAACTTTTGATATGCGTTGTTTAAATATTTTGTAAAAGTGTTAACAATAGTAAACTTCTGCAGTCTTAAAGTCCCATGTTTGCTAAATGCTTGCACAGTATTGCCTACTTTGTTCATCTTCTCACTAAAGACTGTCTACCATAGATTTCCCTGCCTATTCAGAAAAACAAAATTATTATTGTTAATATTGGTCCAAAGGTTCAAACTGGGCATCCAATAAACAGCAGCTTATGCCACTGAAAAAATTCACAATGACTCAGTCAATTTGTACTCACTCAGTACAAATGATTACCCAGTTCAGTTTTGCAAAAGCGGCTTATGGACTTTGGAATTCAAACGCTAGTTTCCCAGCAGTCAGGCCCAAGATTTCTTCTCCATAACCTCAGAGGAATAACATCAATATAAATGGTGATGTCTCTGCCTCCTACAGCATCACAGCAAATCAGCCACTTGCTTCCTATGTACACTTTATCCTGATCTTTTATGTGTATGGACACACTGCAGAAAAGCTCTGTTCAGGTAAATGGGAAGAAACCCATGAAGAAAAAAACATTTTGGTAAAATTTCTTCAGTGTCCAAACAATAACTTAGTTGATAAATTGTGCTAAACTATAATTTGATTTCTTTAATTTTGGCTTAACACACTGACAGGGTACTCACATTATGTTAAGCCATGGTTGGCTTAACCACAGTTTATTGAATAAGCCACAATTGTGTGGGTACACATATACTAAGCCATAATTTATAATTATAAAGCATATTAGTTGGATTTACACATCAAACTATGCTAAAACTAAACCAACCATATTATGGCTTAGTGTGATGCTTGAAGACAATACGATAACCGTGTAAACTACTTATTGTGTAACTTGTCAAATCAAAAGGAGAGTATCACTTGAATATGAGGTGATATGAATATAAAGAGAAACCCCTAAAGTGATAATTGAGTTCATTTTTTCCCAGATAGCATCATCCTGACCCAAGTAAGACATCCCATCAGTCTATATTCATGTTCAAAGCTCAGAGCAATTCTTACCTGAATCTCCTCCGTTTCATCCACCAGCAGGAAGCTTACAACATGTTCTGTCATCTTCTTCCTCTTGGTCTCCTCATCCATTCCTTCCTCCTCTTGCTGCTCATGATGTCTGCCACTATGGTATACGGTAATAGGATGCTTCCTCTTGTTTCCACCAGCATGAGTTCTCTTCTGACACTCTAAACATAAGTTTATTTTGCACGCTTGGCACCTTACTGTTGCCCTTTGTCTGGAGCTTATGATATTGTTCTGCATGATGCTGCCACTTGTAAGTTTGCAGGTGTCACAGTAGGGGACATGGCCAGCTTTGATTCGAGTCCGTTCATGATTTCGAAGTCTTTCTTGTCTATGCAGTTCTTCTTCGCAACGCTGGCATTGCAAGCTTCCACATTCATCACACTCAAAGGTTGCTTCATCTGTGCCACTGCAAGCATAGCTTTCCTGGCACAAAAGTGTGGTGTTCAGTCCTTTATCTATTGATGGAGGTTGGGCACTCATCTTCCACAAATTACTGTTACTTCATAAAACTGGGGTTTTTTTACCAGATACATACATTGGTTTTCCAAAGGATTAAAATCAGTACTTGTCTTAAGAGAGAGGAAACTATAAAAGTTGGATATATGTATCAGTTTTGACTCTTCACCCCTATAATGCTTTCATGAAATGCAAAATTCTTTTTTTTTAATTTGGTTTAAGAATTGTAAACACTACTTTCCATAATGACTGAGCAGCTCAAATAAATTCCACGTTTAAAGTTACAATAAACTTGGATATATGTAAGAAAAACAGTCTGGTATGTCTCCAAAATGTAAACCAAGTATTTTCTTTATAATGTCTAAAAAATAAAGGAAAAATTATTGATTTAATATATACATACACATAAGTGCAATAAAGAATTCAGATAATATTATAAAGCCCTTTACTTTCTTTTCATGATTTATTCCTCCTTCAAAATGAAAAACATTTGTGCGTATGTTTCAAATCTTTGTATAAAATAAAGGAAAAATTATTGATTTAATATATACATACACATAAGTGCAATAAAGAATTCAGATAATATTATAAAGCCCTTTACTTTCTTTTCATGATTTATTCCTCCTTCAAAATGAAAAACATTTGTGCGTATGTTTCAAATCTTTGTATAACAAAAGATAGCTTCGATTAAATCAGTCTCTTACAAAATCTCCATTTGAGCTTCAAATATTATTAAAACTACCTTGGGATCCTCCCATCAGGTTGACAAAGAGGTTTTTCTCAAACAGGTATGGGACTCGATCTTGTTCAACCAAGAAGTCCATCTTATTTGTTTTAAATATTTATAAGTCACTTTCCATTCAACCAAATTGAGCGGCACCTAATCTTAATTAAAAGTGTTTTGGACTGCACTCTGCCAAGCAATGATACCCAACTTCCGTAAACACACACTGAGTAAACCACATCAAAGTTGGACATATTTTTAAGCTCTACAAATGGACATGTCATATAGTAATGCATTATTTATTTACTATAAAGCAAAGCAATAAAAAATTAACGTTCTCTAAGCTGTCTTAAACATACCAGGAAAGGTGGGGGGGGAGGAGAGAGAGTGGTTATAGGGAACACATTGCTTTAGTGTTTACTTGTGACTCACTCGCTACCATGAGAAGATCTTGACTTAAACCTTGTCGGATAATCTAAAGAACAAAATATATAACTCACGGTTTGACTGAGTTACTTGAAAGCACCACAATCAGATAGTCTTAAACTAAATTCATTTTTTTATGAGTCATTAAATCTCCCTGTATAAACAAGAATAAGCGAGAGGAAGCGGGGTAAAATAAGATGAGAAACAAACCGTGCCGAAGAACAATGCAGCCCGATCTATTGTTTATAAAACAACAGGCATCTTCTTCCTCCTCCTCCTTTTCCTCCCTGCAAGTCTCAGTGACTAAGTAATCAAACCATT